TGACATCTGCAAAGAAAGCCTCTCTTGCATGTTTTAGTGTTGTGTGATAGTTACATAGTCTTTCTTTGTAGATGTCACAATAAACGTGTAATTGAGTTTTACGCCATTTCCGTTCGGCCCTACGGCAGAGTTGTCTTGCAGATAGAACTGCTTGTGCATTTTTCCATGGAGATTTCTTCCTACCAGACACAACCTTCACTTTAATGGGGACAATGTATTCAATGATATCTGAAAGTTTGCACTGAAAATCATCTACCAACTTATCTTCATCATTATAGCTTAAGGACGAGGAAGAAGAGTAGATTTGATTAAATGTTTCTGCTGTGTTTTCTGTGAAAGTACGTTTTGTGTTAGTAGCTTTTTGTTCAAGTGGGTTAACGGATAAAGAACATTCAAAGATAACAGCAAAGTGATCCGACAGGGCGACATCAGTTACAGAGACATTGGAAATATGCACACCCTTACTGATAACCAGGTCCAGTGTGTGTCCATGAGTGTGTGTTTCTTGTTTGACATGTTGTGTTAAACCAAAACTCTCTAATATATCAAGTAGATTTTTTGCCCCTCAGACTTCAGGTGTTTGAATTACAATCATGTTTCTGGAATGAATGACTGAACTCTAACTACTGATCTTCTGAAATGCAATGGCGTAAACAAAACATAATGGTGACTGTATGGTGTTTTTATGATGCAAAGCACTTTGAACTGCCTTAGTGCTGAAATGTGCTAAACAAATAAAATTGATTAACTGAGTAAGAAAGGGTTGTTTTGATAAACAGTTAAAATCCTTCATTCTTACCCACAAATAAAACATTCAAAAATGATAGTAAAATCTAAAATCCAATTAATTAAAAAAATATTATCTTTGATCATCTTTACTGTAAATGTTCACCAGGATCAAAAATTGAATCACCAAAACTTTCTTTTTGTCACAGTTTCAGTTTATTCAGATTTTTACAATAAAACATCACACTGATTTAATCATTAAAATAAAGAATAAACTACCAATCATGACTGTTGTATGAAAATACACAAAAAGAAATGTAATAAATGCTTATTACTTTATAACTCCATTCAGAACCTCAGTTCTACTCTACATAAACATACAGGAGGGACTTTGCTTCTCAACTAAATTAACAAATGAATGAATGTCTTCATGTGGATGTCTTTCTGGAGAGATCTTTTACAAAAAATTCAGTGTTTTTTCAACAAAATGAAGCTTTGCAAACTCTTGAGAATATTATGTGGCTAAACCTTTTCTTGTTCATTCAGGATTCCTGAACTGTGATGTGCATTAATTAAAGAGACAACACATGTTGAAGCTTTATAAAACTATGTAAAATCATGTAATTCCAATGAGAAACTCCTGATATTTAAAAACGATAATAAACCTGTTCAGATATCTGTCCTCTTTCTAATGTAGAAAACAAGTGAGTGTTTATAGACTGGTGTAATTTCAAATATCATCAGAATCAAAAATAATGACTGATGTCCTGAATGGTGATGATAATAATTACAGTTTCTTCGGGTTATCTGTACAAGGATTTGTACAACAGTTGATCTGACAAAGCAATAAATGTAACTAATTATTTTAGATTAATCAAAATCCTCCTGAGCAATGATAGCCTCCATGGCTATCAAGAAGGAGCACCCCCCACCCACCCCCAAAAAAACAACAAAAAAAAAAAACTTCAACATCAACAAAAGATAAAGTAATTCCATAAACACAGCTGATCTGACAACAATGATAGATTTTAAAACAACAGAAACTAAAATACACATTTTAACCTGCTGGACCTCAGATCACTGCTGACTATTTCAGCTTAATCAATTCAGCTGAGGCTCCATTACAGAAAAGCTCAACCCCAACATACAGAGGCTGAGTGAATCTGGTCTGGACTCTGTGGAGGAGAGTCATGGTTTCAGAGACGCTGTAGAAAGACAGAATACCTGCTCTGTGATTCAGGTACACTCCTATTCTGGAGGAAACTGGACCTGATACTGGAGTTTCAGTGTTGTTGTACTTAAATGTGTATTTGTTTGTAGAACAAACTAATGACCAAGATTTGTCATTTAATCCAAATTTTTCTTCTCTGCTGACATCCTTGTTTAAAATGGCTACAACTCCTCTTCCCGCTCCTTTCCACTCCACCTCCCAGTAACAACGACCAGTCAGACTCTCTCTGCTCAGAACCTGAGAATGCTGAGTAAACCTGTCTGGATGATCAGGATAAGACTGTTTGTCTGTCTTTTTGGCTTTTCTGTTCCTCTCGAATAAAGACAGAAATGAATTAGCCGTGTTTGGATCCAAAGTAATCTTTTGTGAATATTTTAAAAATTCAGCTCTAGTCTCTGGTTCCGGTTCTGACAGTAAAAATTGTACCTCATTTAGTCTCTGTGAGACGTCTGTCCATGGGTCTCTCAGGACGTCCTGTAGTTTGTCTCTGAGCTCTGACACAGCTGCTGTCACGTCCTTAAAGTTTCTCCTGGGACGGATGTTGATGCTGGATGAGTGTGTCGACTCCCTGAGTGCTGGCAGTGAGGGGTAGTTGAGGAGAAACTGGGTGTGATCCTCTGTGTGTGAGAGCTGCTCCAGCTCAGCGTCTTTCCTCTTCAGCTCAGTGATCTCCTGCTCCAGCTTCTCCTGAACATCTTTGACTCGACTCACTTCAGTTTCCTGCTGGGATCTGATCTGCTGCTTCACCTCAGAGCTTCTTTCCTGGAGGAGACGGATCAGCTCAGTGAAGATCTTCTCACTGTCCTCCACTGCTTTATCAGCAGAGACATTGATGGCCTCCACCTCCTGTTGAAGCAGCTTCACATCTTTCTCTTGGTCCTGGATTCTCTGATGGATTTGTTGTCGACTCTCCTGGAGCTTCTTCTGCTTCTCAGCTCTTTCTGCTGCAGCTGGGACTGTTTCATGGCCTTTATGTTCATCCATAGTGCAGAGATAACAGATACACTGCTGATCAGTACGACAGAAGAACTCCAACACTTTCTCATGGTGAGAGCAGATTTTCTCCTTGAGATTCTTGGAGGGATTCACCAGCTTGTGCTTTTTAAATTGTGAAGCATTATTGTGAAGTTGAAGGTGCTCTTCACAATAAGAAACCAAACAACCCAGACAGGACTTGACGGCTTTTGTCTTGACGGCAGGGCAAAAATCACAGACCACATCTTCAGGTTCAGCATAGCAGCGATCTAGTTGATTTCCTCTCTGCTCCATTTCTGCTCTCAGGAACAACGACTGCGAGTTTTTCTTCTGTAGGTTAAATTATCAGGTTGCTGAAGGGAGTGTCTCTGGTTCCACCCATCATGACGCTTGTAACTCAGAGTGGGAGGGAACAAGGAAGAACTTTGAATTGATCAGTGTCTGTTAATCCAGACTGCTCATCTCAGGTTGATATTTCCATGTTTTATTCAATAGTTGGAAGCTATTAAAACATCCTGTTTTTACCCCACTTTAAATATCAAGCTCAGTCAAACAGAAGTATAAAAGCCACACATGCAAATCCTGCAGATAAAAATAACAGATTATGGATTATATCTTGTTTCTGGGCTTATCACATTATTGTTCCTCATATAGAAACCTACATACAGGTGCAGTGGTGATAGGAGTCCACTCTGCATTTGGCTGGTTCTCTTTTCTGTCAGACTGCCCCAGGGCAGCTATGGCTACTAACCTGTAGCTGCCCACCATCAGTGTGTGTGTGAATAACTGTATTGTGAAGTGCTTTGTGATCCTCTGGATTTGATAAAGCACCATTTACTATTTACAATTATTAGCACTTCAAGTTAAAGTATGTAAAAAAGGTTTAAAATAAAAAATATTTTTGGAGCATAATCTCACACTATAACATTTAGAGTAATTCCACTTTTAATTTCAGTACTTTTTATTCAGTCTTCAAAATAGGAAAGACAAGAAAATGTATAACTAATTAAGATGTGTTAATCTTCATCTATCATGAAATTATTACAAGAAAATATCTACTTATCAAAGTTTTCTCATCAACAATTCCTGTAACTGAGAGAAAGACAGCTACACAGGGACCAAAGTTTGAACCCACAGTGAGGAGTATAGTTACAGAAGTAGAAAAGTATCTAGTGATTACTGTTGGAGAACTGCATCTTAGAGGGAAATCAGACACGGTCATCAAGTCAAAACATCTACAGATGAACCTCTAAACAGGACTGAATTTTCTGAACACGAATGACATAAATGTTTCAAACAGAAATGTGCCTCTACAGCCATGTAATGGCTGTGGCTTTTTAATTCTCTTTTATAATTTACTTGCATCGTTGTCTTTTATTAGACTTAATTTAATTGCATTTTGGTTCATACAGCTGTCTGTGCAGAAACAGTTGCTGGAAATGTGCTGCATAAAGAAGTAATAAGCAATTTGAGCAGACTGATTATATAAAATATAATTTTTGTTGTGTTCACTAAGGATTATAAGGATTTACTCTAAACTGGCTGGAAATTAATGAAGCAAGCTTACAAATGATTCAAGAAGTGTAAAAATGGCACTTTATGAAATACAGTCACACGTCTGACAACAAATGTACTTCATTTAAAGAGACAGTTCCAGGTTATGCCTCTTTAGTCTAGCAACATCAAAGGCTATGTTCACACAGCAGATCTAGATCCAATGAAATCTCTTTTTTGCGTGGTTAATCATACTACTAATTAAAAATAACCAACTATATATAAACCGTTCTATAGTTTAAAACCCCTGCAGCTTTTCCTCAACCCTACTCCCCATGGCCTTGTACAGAAGCCATAACTTCCACACTGAAGAACTCTAAACCTAGTTGAGACGTGCAACCCATCAATGCAGCAGGACTCCTCTCTGAGTCATCTTTCTTCTCAGAAACAACCGTTGGTTTCATTTTTCAGCAACATGTTGCTGCAGTGAACATCAGTGGTTTCACCCATTATCAGGTGTGAGTTTCTCAAGAAGTGTTTCTCAATTCCAGCCCTCAGGCACCCGTTCTTCATATTTTAGATGTGTTTCATTTCCAGATCACCTGATTCAAATGACTGTATGACCTCTTCTGCAGCCATCGAGTACTGCAGAGGTCTGTTATTCACCCCACAGATTCAAACCAGATGTCTGACAAAAGGGAAACACCTAAAATATGCCAGGCAGGGGGGACTGAAGAATTGAGAAACACTGGTCTAAAGGGAGGAAACATGTTTCACTAATACACCTTTTGGACTAAATATTTTGAGTTCTTCAGGTCACCTAAATAGAAATAAATGCAGTTTCTCCTTCTCTCAGTCTTTAAATAAGAAAAGCTTTTATATCTGATTAATACAACTCAAACATAAAAATTATAGACTCTCCACTTGGTATTCGTCCAAATTCACATAATTAGCACAAGTTCAGACAGGAATATTACTGGGCTGCTGTCTGACTCACCTCTCTGATGATTCACCACTGGTGTCTTACAATGAACAAAGGAAATAAATCTAACATCAGGAGCCTCGGGTGATTGAGTTGTAGTATTATGGGCTGTAGAGGAGGAATGGTAAAAACCTAAATCTATGTTAACTACATATAATTTACATCTCCAGTTAAACCCATGACTATTAAAAGCCCTGGCAGCTTAAAAATTATTTTAATTCAACCAAAATGTTTGTTGTAGAGAAAGAGACATCCATCCATCCATTTTCTGAACACCCTTGTCCCTCAGTGGGGTCGGGAGGTGCTGGTCCCTCTCCAGCTAACATTCCGGGCAAGAGGCGGGGTCACCTGGACAGGTCACCAGTCTGTCGCAGGGCAACACAAAGACACACAACCATGCATACACACACTCACACCTAGGGGCAATTTGGAGAGGCCAATTAACTTAACAGTCATGTTTTTGGACTGTGGGAGGAAACCGGAGTACCCGGAGAAAACCCACGCATGCACAGGGAGACCATATGTTGTCGCCCTCTGTCTCCGTGCTGCCGCCAGCTCGCCACCAGGGGGCCCCAGCAGTCCCTCTCCTGACGCTCCACCTTGCGGGTGTGTCTGCACACACCTGCAGATCATCTGATCAGTTCCAGGACTATAAGAGGAGCCTCCAGCCAACACTTCAACGCCAGAGTGTTAACCCTTGTGGTAACTAAGAGCCATCTGAAAACCTTGAGTTATATACGTTCCTGTTCTAACCTCTGTCTCCTCATCTCAGGTTTGATCGAGCCCTGGACCCGGGCAAGATCCGGACCCAGTCGAGCCCGCTAAAGGGATCTGGATCTCCTCGCCCTGGAGGGCCCTGCACCTCTCCCTCACTTCCCCCGAGCAGGAGTTCATTGGACCCCAAACCCAGCCCCGGCGTTTCCGACCTGTCTGTTGTTCAAAGCCACTCCAGCTCGAATCACCTTTTTTTCGTTGTTGAATAAAACCCTTAAACTTCAGTTTTCTCCTGAGTGCCTGCTGCATGTGGGTTCGGAATATTCCAAAAACCATGACACCATGCAAACTCCATGCAAAAAGACCGGGGCCGGGAATCGAACCCAGAACCTTCTTGCTGCAAGGCAACAGCTCTACCAACTGCGCCACTGTGCAGAAAGAAACAGAAAATCTGTATTGGCATTGCAATTGTAAATCCTTCCTTTAAAAACTGACCAGTGTTTTGTATGTTTCCTGTAATATTTTGAGGATTTATATTTAGGCATGAGCTCCAATTCTGTTTCTAATTTATGACTCTACAATCAATTCTACTCTGAAAAATCATTTGGTTAGAAATTTTTAATAAAACTTTCAGTTTGTTTCCTCCCAGCAGAGAAAATGCTGAAAATGTACTTGTATGGTAGTTTCAGAAGTCTACTTTCCATCTTTATATGTGCAAACTTCTTAATAAAACAAACTTAGACTACTAAATTAGTATTTCAATTTTTTTACATTTCAAAAAACAAAACTTGAACAACAGATCAGACTAACGATATGCTTTAAGGCTCTTACCAACATAAAGTGCACAGCAGCATGTAGACGGTACTGTTCCACCTCATCGAAACGTCTTGTTGCAACAGCTTCTTGGGCTGCATTTGTAACTCATGGAGTCAGGAATATTCAAGCAACGAATGCTTAAAATGTCCAGCAATTCCCATCCCCATTGCAACAGTCTCTGCGATGCTGTGCTACCACTGCGCAAGTTGTCGATCATTTACAACGAGTTGCAGTGTGTGTGCCAAACAGTTTAAACTTTTCAAGAATAACCAGTTCTTTGGTCATATTATGGCTCGGTACAGAGGCGCAAAAAGTGAGTATGCAGCGTATGCAACGCATAGGGGCGCAGCACCAGAGGGGGCGCCAAAACCCCGTCTGGAGGGGGCGACGCGCCGATTATGTTTTCCCATACACTTCAGCGCGCCTCACGCTCCTTCACCTCTCGCACATAACGAGGTAAATGTAGCGATTTTTACACTTCACGTATCATCGCCTTGGGGGTGGGGGGGGTGTTGGTCAGCGTCGCTCCTTCACCCTGACGTTCCTTCCCTGGGGTGGGGGCGCCGATTTATGTTTTCGCATCCACCTGAATAATGTGTAGTTGCGCTACTGGCTCGGTATATTCGTGGGTTCCAGTGCTGCATCAATGGCTGGTCATCCAATGCCATGAACTCCATAACTTTCCTCGTATTAGCTTTGTTTTTGTTTTTTTTCATTGCTCATCAGAGCTAACAGCGGGCCACCGACGAAGTCTTTTCTTCCGCTTTAGCCTTAGTTTGACTGCTCTCTTCAAATGCTGCATATTCAGCAGCGTGGTGGTTTCATAAATATCAATCAATCACTTTATTTTTGGTAAATTATCCACATCAAACACAACAAAAAAACAAAATAAACAAACCCATAATTTACCAAAAAAGGAATAGGCTGAACCCAAGCTTATTTTTGCCTACCCTGTTTTATACCCAACAACCTACCAAAATATCTTCACAAAATATATATAAATCTACATAGCAGCATAAGATTTTATCATTTTACATTTTAAAGCTCTTTTAAAGCTCACCAAGAAAGGACATAACTTAAAATCATCATTCAATTCATTCCACAGTTTCACACCAATAACTGAAACAAGCAGGAAATTTGCTTGTTTCATAACTTCATAACCAGCAACCTTCTCTCCTATGGTCTGTTTAACAGCTACATTCTTAGATCAACACAATCCTCCAGCTCTGTCAGCAGCAGAAACAGCAACATTATAACCTATCAGGGAAACAGACTATATTTGCTTTGCATCGTCTCCACATGATGACAATGATACAGTAGGATCTAATTAAATATTAGATTCTTGATGTGTTGTTGATATGCTGTTGTACATTGTTTTAAAATCTTGTTCAACATGCCCCTTTTTAACATTGAGTCCCTGCCCCTCCAAAGATCTCTACACGGCCTGACTCCGAGGAACTTTTTGTTCGGTCAATGTCCCAGTGCAAGTACTAGAACAAAGATTTTTAGGCCAGTTTGTTTTCATAGCCGTTTCCTCGCTCGTCCTCTTGATCTCCTTTCATAGAATGGAGGTGGAGGTGGGGGGAAGAGTGTGACGCTCATGGAGGGTTGAGGTGGTGGGGTCAGTTGTGGAGAAAGGAGAGGATGAGGGTGGAGGTGGGGGGGCAGCTGTGGAGAAAAGACAGGATGGAGGTGGAGGGAAGGCTCCGGAGCGAGGCGGGGCGATGAATGGCTTGCATGTTTGACTAAAGTGATCAGGGGTACGGCATACAGTCCTTAAACATTGACCAGCGATTTCCATGGCAATTGGTTCTGGTTCTGCCAGTATAACATCCACTGCAGTGACCTTCAGTGAGATGTTTGTTCATGTGTCTCTCAGGATGTCCTGTAGTTTGTCTCTGAGCGCTATAACGTGATAAGTATCTTGTTAAAACGTGATAGTTATCTTGTTAAAACGTGATAGTATCTTGTTAAATAGTGATTCTTGAGAATAGGGACAAAACAGGTCCTATGAATAAAGGACAAAATTTGAATAAAATATACACAAAATATAATTTTTTCAAATATCTGACTCAACTAACCTGGGTCATGTGAGCACAACAATGTATATTTTTCTTTTTTTTGCTGAATATTTTTTTATTTTAAACATTGTAGTCGGTGGATGATACCTGTAAAAGACCTTGTCCAGGAGCAGAACTCAATACATTATAATAGTTTAAAACAGTAAAGGCTGTGCTGGCTGCAAGACGTAAGCTAGCCCCACCAGCTCCAGCTACTGCCACAGCCTGCCCATCTCCAGCCGCCACAGCCTGGCCGTCCGAGCCTGCCGCTGTTGCGGCGTCCCCGCGGGCCGAGCCACCGGAGGTCCCGGCCCCTGGGCTCCGCCTGCAGCTGCCTCCGGTCCCTGCGCCGAGGCAGCGTCAGTCTCCGCCCCCAGAGTTTCCTGCGTCCGCTGCATGTGAGCAGCCCCCAGAGTTTCCCGAGTCAGCTGCCGGAGTGCAATCCCCCGAGCTCCAGCCTCCAGTGCCTGCTCCGCCCAAGACTCCTAGTGCTCAGTCTCCTAGTGGTCCCCCAGAGACTCCTAGTGGTCTCCCAGAGGCTCCAGCCGGCCTACCTGCCGGCCCTCCAGAGGCTCCTGCCAGCCCTCCAAAGGCTCCTGCCGGCCTTCCAGGGCCGCTTTGGCTGTGTGTCCCGCGCCGGCGATGCCCGCCGGACCAGCCTCCTCGTCGGTGCTTCCTCCGCCAGCGTCGCTGCCCACCGCGGCCCAAGCTCCGCTTCCTGTGTCGCCGCCCACCGCGGCCCAAGCTCCGCCTCCGACGTCGCCGCCCGCCGGGCCTCCTGCGGGAGCTCTGCCTCTTGTGCCGTGGACGGCCCCCAGACTGTTTTCCTGTGTTTAAGTTCCTGTGTGGATTTAGTTTTTGTCTCTGGACTCTGGCCCTCCTGCCGTCGCCCCTCCACCCACCCTGTTGGGTTGCTTTTTGTTTGGAACTGTTTTCTGGACTCTTGCCCTCCTGTCGTCGCCACTCCGCCCACCCTGTTGGGTCGTTTTGTTTTTTGTTTGTGGACTTTTCTGTTGGGCGCCTGGTAGGCGCCCCTTGAGGGGGGGGTACTGTTATGATCCGTGTTGCTGTGTGTTTAGTTTTTGAGTTTTTCTGTGTGATTCTGTTTCCTTGTGTGTCTCTGTCCTGTCCTCCCCGTTGATTGTCTCCCAGGTGTGTCTCGTTCCCTTGATTGCCCCGTGTGTATTTAGTCTCACCTGTTGTCTGTGTTCTTCGTCGGATTCTCGTCTAATGTCGTCTTGTGTACCAGTCTGTTTCCCTGTGTTCTTTGTGCTCTCCGTTGTTCTGTACCTCGACATTTAACATTAAATTTATCATCATCGTCATCCTGGGTCCTCCCTGCATTCTCCCTCACCACTCACCACTTCAAATCATGACAATCCCCAGCTCTCCGCTATGCTGCAGCTAGTGTAACCCAGGGTAAAATCTGCCCTTATGCATTTCTGTACTGCTCTGAATGCATTACCATTGGTTCTACTCACAGTCAGTCACATAATGCATTCAGCAAATCACAGTGTCTGGAGTGGTAATACAGACCTACTCCAGCTTTCCCCAGTCAGGTGTGAGGGGGAGGCAGGCTGGGATGGTCTGTGCTTCTTTTCCCCTCCAGCAAACCATACTGACACACAAACCACTTTTCGCCTCTTCTCCGTTGAGGAGAAATGGCGCTTGAACATTTTCCCCTCAAATAGTTGGACAAATAAAATCACGGATCACTTCAGTCAATGATGTGTGAAAAAGTAATGCAGTCACCCAACATAGCTTATCTTTTCATGTCTTCATCAAGTGTCGGCCACCAGAGGAGGCTTCAGATTAACTGATTTAATTCATACCAAACCTTAGTAATTATCATGTAACACATACGTGCTCCACAGCTTTTAGGTACGACCATCCTGAACCTCCAAGAACACAGTCATCCTCTACTGTAAAATCAAACCACATCTGAAATTACTCATCTACAGGATTTGTTCATCATGTAAAAANTTACAGTTTCTATGTGTGAACAGCACTAAGCTACAGGAGCAGGAAAGCTGCTTCATCAATATAATTCACAGCTGAAGACTTAAAACTGACTGAGATACACAGAAAGGAAGCAAAGTTTCCCTAAACTGGTTAGAAAACCTTAGACGGTTCTTCTGGGGAAGTGGAGCACACCAAAACAGAAGACTACATGCTTTTTGCCGACTGTTCAGCTTCAGATTAACTACGTCAGGACCATAAGAAATTAGGGAAAGGATTTTGAGGACCATGGGTCACTGACAAATTTTATATAAAATACCACAGAATCTTTCCTTTTAGACTTTTTCAGATGTAGACATCTAAGGTAATACAAATAAATATAAAATAAATGGAAAAAATTAGAATGTTTCTTTCTCAGGACAGCGAATGCTTCCAACTGTAAAGTCGTTCCTGGACCTTACAGCCTACCAGTCGACACCCTCCGGTCAGAAACACAGCTGTGTTATTTAACCAATTTATATGAGGTTTTGTGCATCACCCAAACCTGACAACCATTTGGGGCCATCAGCTGGATGATTGGTCAGATATATGGCTGGATGTACGGTTGGAGGAACGGCTGACTGGTTAGACGTAAAGTTGGTTTTAATGATTGATTGGATGAACATTTGGATGAGTGGATGGATGGTTGGTTAAGACCCTTGTAATGGATGTCAGCATCATTAATAATGCAGATCACCATTGGCTTGGTTAATGGTAGAAAACATCTGATCTGCTGTGGATGCCAGGCCTCCTTATTGTAGAACTGTAATCAAATTAGGCTCTTTAACAGCTGTACTTTTTGTAGATAAAGAAGGTCAACTCTCCCAGTTTGTTTTTTTAAATATGTCCTGTATGGACAATATCTTATTCAATGACAAACTTTTATCCACAGAAGTGGCAGCTAGCCATTTTACTATTATCACAAAAAAAACTTTCTGTAATACTTTAAATTATCGAAACTTTATTCAAAGTTAAACTTTTGGATCAGAGGTTGTCTTAAATCTGAAGATGTGAGTTTTAGAGTCGGTTTAAGGAGTTTCACATCAACAACTACCCACCATTTTGATTAATTTCATGACTAAATGTTTATTGTGCAGATATGAAAAAGAAAATTATAGTGCAGCAAAATAGGTGAATAAATAAGATTATAGGTTGCAGCAAATTTACTGAATAAAAGAAAATTATTGATCCCCCATAGAAACTTTGCAATCACATATGAATTATGACAAAATACCTACATTTAACTACACCCAGAAGAATTGTATTGATATTCCAACCTAAACAATGTAAAAATAACCACCAGTAAGTTAAAAATTAATTAGAACAGCATCAAACATGTTAAATGTAATGGCATTTTCTCAATAAAACTAATTATTAATTATTATAAAGTGATGGATTGAAAGAGAGATTATCTCAAAAGATATAAGAGTAAAGGTTATGCTACTAAAATTTGGGGGGTTACACATAAATTAGACCCTACTGGGCATCAACATGTGAACTGGGTCAAAATGGATCAACCAGTTGGACATGAACTCTTGATGGCTGATTTATCCACAGCTGACAAGTGGCCGCCTCGCTCAGCTGCAGATTCCCATGCTGAGTTTGAAGGAGGCTAAACCAAAAGAGAGGGGATTTACTGAAGGCTGGTGAAGTTTTGTGCAAAGAGAAAAAGCAATTGACTAAAGAGTCTCTTAAGATACTCTTAATAATCAATCTAGCAGGTGTTTTTAAAAAGTGTCTAGCCAATAATAAAGTAAAACTCCTATTTTTAGCAGAACATCAGCAACTTTTGGGGAGTACCTCCAAAAGGTACAAATATATTCTCTTCTTCTTTGAGCCAATGAAAAAGGCCTGATGCATACTGAAATATCTCTATCATTGTGTCTCTCATTAATATTGACTTTTAGATTTAATTAAAACAACTGAACAATTTTCCCAGCTCCCTTCCTTTTCCACAGATATTAAAGCTCATTAAACAAACATCACAATAGCTGCATCAAGCCAAACATCTAATTTCTTAAAAAAAAAAAAAAGTAACTGAGACATTAAAATATTTTTTTAAATCAATCTCCAGATTTCATTTTGTCTCAAACTCCTAAGCAAGAAGAATTAAGTAGTTATCAGTTACTTTTGAGATTACTGGAACAGTTATTCTCCTCATGTATCTTTTTTGTTTGTTTCTGAAATACAAAAAGCCTCCTTAACATAAATGCATGCATAACATTCACATGATTAAAACTAAACTGACATCAAATGATTTTATCATGTATAGAAAATCACAATTTAAACCAAAAACCTGAAATATAACTACTGAGGTATTCACTCTTAAAGTATTATAATATTCCCGCACATCATGTTTCTTTGGCCCAAATTACCAAAGTCTCTTGGAGATGCTGGGTCCCCATCATCGGTTTAAGGGCTCATTAGTTCAGTGACGTCGTTTCCTGTGACATCTGCATACACGAGTCTCCACCAGCTTTATTTTTTTCTGGGCATGTGGCTGAAGAACTTCTTGCATGCAGCTGCACCAATCTACCAGTAGGTGGCTCCAGAGAACTAAAAATCCCAGAACATCAGTTTTTCTTGCTCGTCTATGCCGCTCTGATTTACTCCAGCATCATCTTTCAGGTTGTTAGGTCAGCCAGAAAAGCTGCTTTTAGTTTCCCAAAAACTAAACGTAAAACTTTATCGGTAGTGGCCCATAAACATTTGAATATTTTGCCCCTGTAGACAAGTATCTTCACTTCATGCTTTTAAGTCTCCTTTAAAAACATATTTTTTCAATAACATTTAACCCACTTTGAGTTTACTGTATCTTTTTATTTTCTTTTTCCATGTTATTAATGTTTCAGTGCTTGTTTTATGTCATGAATTTTATCTATTTTATCTCTACTTTCTGTTTTTAAAAGGGCTTTCTGAATAAATCGGACATGGATGTTATTATTATTATTATGATTGTTACGATTAACAAAAGTTAATATTTTCACAAGAGATGAACAGTTTTTTAAAGCAATACAAGACAGTAATTTTCACACAGAGGAAGTTTCTGTTTGGTTTTGGTCTGGTGCCAATATCAGACAGTACCAGAACCAAGATTTATAGGCTGACTTGTTTTCATAGCCATCTCCCCATGAATTTCCTTACATCAATTGTGGAGAATAGTTGAGGTGGGGGGATGGGATCTTTTGTGGAGCTGAAGGTGGATGAGAGTAGGCAGTCGGCTGTGGAGTGGATAGAGGGCGTGCTTGACACCAGCGTGTCCGACTTAAGTGATCGGGGGTGCGGTATGCAGTCAAGAAGTGTCGTCATTGAGTATTGCCCTGAGAGTAGGTACCGGCAGTGATGCCCTTTCCACTCAGGAACAGGAACGAACACATGCTCATCATGCAAAATATTCTAACTTTCCCTCATCAAAAGTTCTTTTCAGAATATTTGTTTTCCAAAAGCAACACTACTGTATTAAAGTTTATTAATTTTTCTTTTGAATAATACCAATTTTATGTATGTTGAAGCAAATAAAACACTCTGTGGCTCAGTTTCAACATATATATATTTTATATGGTATTCCAAAAATGCCATGTTTGCTGTTTGGGGCAATATTGAACCTTTATTTTAAAAGAAAGCTATAGAGTGTATTTTATTGTTTTGCAACATGGTTTTACACATATAATTAAAAAATGTCATTACAATTAAGTGTCAAATTGATTTAATTTTTGAGTAATCGGCTTTAAATAACCCCATCCTTCTCTATTCAAAGGTGGGTTTGTGGCAAGGTACACCTAACCCCCTAAATCTCAAAAACCATTAGACATAATGGGCTAAAATTTTCTCTGCTCTTTTCTGGTAATACATTTAATAGAAAATGCATTTAGAGTACTAAAAATAATAATTACAAAATTGACTGCCGGAACCTACTGAGAGAAAAGTATCTACTTCAGAGATTGCCAGTGAGATGTTTGTCCATGTGTCTCTCAGGACATCGTACATTATATCTCTGAGCTCTGACACAGCTGCTGTCACGTCCTCAAAGTGTCTCAGAGGACGGATGTTGATGCTGGATGAGTGTGTCGACTCCCTGAGTGCTGGCAGTGAGGGGTAGTTGAGGAGAAACTGGGTGTGATCCTCTGTGTGTGAGAGCTGCTCCAGCTCAGCGTCTTTCCTCTTCAGCTCAGTGATCTCCTGCTCCAGCTTCTCCTGAACATCTTTGACTCGACTCACTTCAGTTTCCTGCTGGGATCTGATCTGCTGCTTCACCTCAGAGCTTCTTTCCTGGAGGAGACGGATCAGCTCAGTGAAGATCTCCTCACTGTCCTCCACTGCTTTATCAGCAGAGACATTGATGGCCTCCACCTCCTGTTGAAGCAGCTTCACATCTTTCTCTTGGTCCTGGATTCTCTGATGGATTTGTTGTCGACTCTCCTGGAGCTTCTTCTGCTTCTCAGCTCTTTCTGCTGCAGCTGGGACTGTTGCATGGTATTTATGGTAATCCATTGTGCAGCAATAACAGATACACTGCTGATCAGTACGACAGAAGATCTTCATCTCCTCACCATGACGAGGGCAAAAGTTCTGCTCAAGTTTAGCAGATGCTTCAACAATTTTGTGTTTTTTAAAAGTAGAAGATTCATAGTGAGGTTGAAGGTGATTCTCACAATAAGAGGCCAAACAAACCAGACAGGACTTGACAGCTTTCATCTTCCTCCCAGTGCAGACATCACAGGCCACATCCTCAGGTCCAGCATAGCAGTGATCAGCAGGAGCAGCTTGGAGTCCAATCTCTTTCAGATCTTCCACCAACTCTGCTAACATGATGCTTTTCTCCAGGTTAGGCCTCGGTATGAAATCTTTCCTGCACTGAGGGCAGCTGTGGACTTCCATCTGATCTTCTCCATCCCAGTGGCCTTTAATACAGTTCATGCAGTAGCTGTGTCCACAGGGAATCGTCACTGGATCCTTCAGTAGATCCAAGCAGATGGAACAGGAGATTTTCTCCAGCTGAACTCCACTCTGAGCCATTTTACCTCTCAGTAATGACAGTTTGAGTCGGACATCTCTGACTATATATATATGCAAGTTACACCCACCTTAAAAATATGTGGATAAACTGGTATGCTTTTGTTTCACAGCAGGAAGATGTAATTTCAGGCTGACTGATTTCCAGAAGGTGTTTAATTCTTTCTGTTCTCTGTTTCTCCATATGTGGTAAAGATGAATAATTATATGTTCTGATATTTATGAGGTGGTTGAATATGGCATATTTTTGGGTGAAGAATTAATATAAATACATAAATAAATGTTTGTGAAATAAAATAATAATGCTATTTATTATTACAAAATAATAAAAAATGACACAGTGACATGTAAGAGTGAATGAATCAACAGAAAGTGATGAATAATTTGCATAAGCTTTATAAAACACATTGCTAAAACTAATGTCTCCAAACTCAGACAATCATGTGAGTTTCCCCCCCCCAAAAAAAAAAAGTTGCACAAGTTAATATTTGTTACAGAGGTAACATATTGCTAAGAACTTAACATGATATATTATTGCTATGGATTAGCTACCCATCATTTAGCGACGTTTCCAAACTCAGACAATGATGTGAGAAAAATTAATGCTGTCATCCAACGTAGCCTAACTTTTCATGTCTTCATCAAGTGTTGGCCACCAGAATAGGCTTCATACATTTGATTTCATTTACACTAAACTTCAATAGTTATGTAACTGATATCATGCTTCACAGCTTTTTGATAAGACCATCCTGAACCTCCAAGTCATCTTCTACTGTAAACTCAAACCACGTCTGAAATTACTCATCTACAGGATTTGTTCATCATGTAAAAATGTGTTATTAGACCTGTGTCAGAACTGGACCTCCCTGTTTCCTCTGCTAAATCCTTAGCAGCAACAAGTGGACCCTCCATGTATGACACCCTGTACTCTGGGCTGGACTTAGAGAACTTGTAATTCAACAAGGACAGCACAGATAAACTATTATATTTTAATTTTTGAACATTTTCATATATTCCCCATTCTATTGAGTTTGTAAAGATTTTCCACTGGGATGTCCAACTCATGAGCCGCTCTGAGTTGCTTGGTTCTTTGCTGATCTCCCTTCCCTGATCTACATGTCTACCTTTCACAGCATGGCTACATTCCAGCTGCCCCCACACTTCTCTGCACGAGTCAGCATCAAAGTCTGCTTTTTTAGACCATCTCCTTCAATACAGGCGAACAAAACATGGTGGCTGCACTGAGGGTGAAGCGGACAAATTTACAAGATATTGAGTTTCCTTGTGTATGTGTGTTTCCTTGATTACTCACTTCACATAGTTCAACATACCATCATACCTGCTGGAATGCATAAGGAAAACTTCCTAATGCAATCCTGGTTGCGTTATGCTGAATGCATGAGGAAAACTTCCTCGTCTATTCCAAAATAGGGAAGTTTTCCAATTAAACAGGTTCAACAGAAACAAAACCCAAGCACACTCCAGTGTTTGGACAGTGCATTCCTGCTGATCTTTGCTTCTAACAAACTTGTTATTTCTCAGCATCTCCAACACTGGGTCTAAAATCAGAAGATTTATGTGGATCATTGGTTTTCAATCCTAATCTTCATGATCCACTGTTTTTCATATTTTAGATATTTCTCTGCACCAGCACACCTGAATCGAATGGATGCATTAACCCCTAAACATGCAATTAAGTGCTACAGAAGCCTAGCCGTTATCTGTTTACATACAGCAGGTTTGTGGGGGCAGGAAAATGCCTAAAACCTGCTGGACAGTGGCTCCTGAGGACCAGTTTTAAAACTACCGATGTAAATTATATCTCCTGATGTTTCTCCTCCGTTGCAGTGATTTGGAAATATAAATTTGTCCCCATGATCCAGAGACAGACATCCTAGTACTGACAGAGCACATCTCACCACATTGGTTGAATTAAGCAGGGTTTCCCTCAATGTATTATAAGCCTGGCGGGCCACCAGGCTTTACTTGTGCCCCACCAGGCTAAGCATTGCTTATTTATTTAAGTCTTTATAAAATATTTGCATTTAAGACTTTATTGTAGGTCTTCAGATATTAATCTTCCAATCTTTCAATAACACATAATTATCAAGTGATATTTTCAAATTTCTTGTCAACTTTAAACATTTTTTAACTGAAAATTCACAACTTATTACAGTTCAGTGCTTGGGACCGGAGTGTAATAAGTCTGGTCCAAAGCACCGGACTTATTACAAGCAGACTAATTTTTTGTGAATTTCCTTGTGTATGTGTTTCCTTGATTACTCACTTCACATATTTCAACACACCATCATAGTTGCTGAAATACAAAGGAAAACTTCCTTCTGCATTCCACCACAAGGAAGTTTTCCTATTAATCAGGTTCAGCAGAAACAAAACCCAAGCACACTTCCATTGTTTAAACGGTGCATTCATCAGTCTGTTTCTAACAAAGTTGTTTCTTCTCAGCATTTCCAACACTGGGTCTAAAACCAATGATCTACCAACATAGATCATTGGTTTTCAATCCTAATTTTCAGGATCCACTGTCTTTCATGTTTTAGATATTTCTCTGCACCAGCACACCTGAATCAAATGAATGCATTAACCACTAAACATGCAATTAAGTGCTACAGAAGTCTAGCAGTTATATATATACTTACAGCAGGTTTGTGGGGGTAGGAAAATGCCTAAAACCTGCTGGACAGTGGCTCCTGGGGACCAGTTTTAAAACCACAGGTGTAAATTATATCTCCTGATGCTCCTCCTCCTGCAGGATCGGTGCAGTGATTTGGAAACATGAATTTGTTCCTATGATCCAGACACAGACAGCCTAGTACTTACAGAGCAGATCTCATCACAATAGAGACATTGGTTGAATCAAAGTTTGAAATATTTCAGGAAATCAAAAATATTTTATTTGTAAGGAGCTGATACTGCTTGTTCAGCTACCAGAAGGCAAAAACAGTGGCATCACAAATCGATCAATAGTTTAGTTGATATAGTAAAAGTGTTAGGTGCCAGGGCATCTGAAAGTCAGTTCAACTGTCTCCCTTTGTAAGACGTCCAGTCAGTGTAGGATGATTCTTGTATCATGGAATTAATTTCCATTTTCTGGTGTTCAGATTTTTCATATTACTGAGTGCCAATTCATAAATAATCTTCCTCTTATCCTTGTTCGGTTTGCAGATGCAGAGATGCCCAGACTTCCCATTCCTCATATGCAGGCCCGCCTCCACATTTGGTCCGGCTTTTTTTTTTTCATATACCGTATTTTCCGGATTATAAGCTGCTTATATGTGGATTTTTCTTCAACCACCAGGGGGCTCTTTAGCAGGAAGTGAATCATTGGAAGTCAAAATTGGAAATAAAAGAAGAAAACGCCCATTAAAACGGAAGTAGGTTTTAATAGGGAATTGAAATTTGAGAATGTTGTTGATCAGTTAAATAGCATTGAGGGGAAAAAGAAGATTTTTTTTTAAATAATTCTGGGATCTTTATGAGAATTTGAGGTATAGATATTAGGATCCAGTAGAGGGCAGTAGTGCAACAATAATGGAGGCAAGCTGCAGTTGAAATCTAAAGAAGAAGAACAAGCAGCAGCAGCAGCAGCAGAAGAAGAAGAAGAAGAAGAAGAAGAAGAAGAAGAAGAAGATTTTTTTGATTTTTAACAATACATTTATTTACAATTCATGAAGCGCACAAAATACAATTTAAAACACAAGGAATCACATCAGGACAAGTTTTTTTTTTTTTTTTTTTTTTTAAAATATTAAAAAAGGGCTTTTTTAAAATTTTATT